CATCATCCTCCTCCTCCTCCTCCTCCTCCTCTCTCCTCCTCCTCCTCCTCCTCCTCCTCCTCCTCCCCCCTCCCCCCCCCCCCGAGGGGAGCCCACGCTCGCCGGCACCTTCTGCGCGGCCATGGTGCTCCTGGCCGCCCGCAGCATCTTGCCCGCCTCGCGTCCGCGGCGGTGGGGCAGGGCGTGGGCCCCGCCGTGGGCCCCTCCGTGGGCCCTCGGGCTGCGCCCCGGCCCTCTGCGCGGGGCCTCCTCTGGCGGTGCGCCCTGGCCAGCAGGTGGCGCTCAGGCGGGCCCCCGGCCCCACCGCGCCCCAGAAATAATGTCGGGCACCCCGAAGAGCGTCGAAAGGGTGTCGAGACAGTGTCGGCCGAGTGTCTCCCAGGGCCCGTCACGTGGAAACCCTCGAGGCTTGGGGTGCGCTCGAAATGCTTTCTGGTGGTCAAGGCTATGGTAGGCTGGGACATCATAACAGTAGGTGGCCGCAGGTGGGCCCCTGCCACACCACCCCACGACTTGGCTGCCATGGCAATGGACACTCTAACAAGCCGATCACTGAACTAGAGATTTGCTCAAACGTGTGTAAAGCATGCTCTAAACATGCTTTCAAGCATGTTCAAAGCATGCTCAACACATGTTGTAGACATCTGGGAACTATTTGCCAACATGCTCCCTCTCCATTGATCGCCCTCCACAAGTCTAAGGGGGGGGGGGTACGGGGCTCTCGCTTCGCTCGAGACCTCCCGAGCGAGAGGAGGAGGAGGAGGAGGAGGAGGAGGGAGGAGGAGGAGGAGGAGGGAGGAGGAGGAGGAGGAGGAGGAGGAGGAGGAGGAGGAGGAGGAGAGAGCCCCGCCTCCCCCCTCGAGATCGCGGGGCGGTGGGGCAGGGGCCGCACATGCGGCCACCTGCTGGCCGGAGCGCCGCAGGCGGCAGCAGCCGCGGCGACGCGCCCCAGGAGGTCCAGGAGCTCGCCGCGGCTCGGACGTCCACTCCCCGTGCGTGTTTCGGTGCGGTTCATGTTGCTCCCATCGTATTGAAAGACCACATCCCAGGAATACTTTCGAGCACCCCGAAGGGCGTCGAAAGGGTGTCGAGACAGCGTCGGCCGAGCGTCTCCCGGGGCCCGTCACGTGAACACCCTCGAGATTCGGTATTTTTCTTGGTGCTCGAAATTCATTATGGTGATCAAGGCGAAAGTAGGTTGGAACATCTGAAGGGAAATTGGGACACACAAATAAATACACACACAAACAACCAGATACCCCATATTCCCGCATATTTTCTGGGTTTCTGTCTTCCCCCCCACTTCCCATATTTTCCCACATTTTCTGGGGAATCGGTGATTGATTGTGTCGGTGTGTTTTTTCCCCTCCTGAGCATCATAAGACGCCGTGCGTTCTTCGTTCTGCTCGCGGGGTGGTCCGGGATGCGCCTCGAGGGTCCCAAGGCGTGCTGGCGCTGGCCTCGCCGAGAGAGAGAGAGAGGGAGAGAGAGAGAGAGAGAGAGAGAGAGAAAGAGCGCACGCGCCCGAGCGGTGCCAGTAGGGAGGCCTCTCTCCTGGGAGGCCCCTCGCGGGAACGAGGGATTGGGACGCACGGGGGCATACTGATACTATAGTTAAGTCGGGCGTGTCCCCCACACAGGGGGATGTTCGACGAACAATTTAAAAAGTACCCCAACACATAATCAAACAAAAGTCCAAAACTAGACAGGGGACTATTTTTGCGTATCTGTTGACCTTTTTAGTGTATGTTTGGGTGTTTTTGCTATTACTTTTCGTCGAAAATCCTCCTGTAGTGGGACAGGCCCGACTTAATACTATATGTCCTCCTTGGAGGCGCGCGTCCGAACTGAACATATAGTATACCCGTGTGGTAATAGATCGTTTCCCGAGCGGTGTGGCCAGAGAGCGCCCGCCACGACGCATAAAACTATAAGATTTCACGGTGCGCGCATCGCCCCTGAGGAGGCGACGCACATGTAGTATAAGTATGTTGGGGTGGCGCCGAAGGAAGGGCTATGAAGCCCGCTTGCAGGGCCACTGAGCCAGATTGGGCCGGATTGCGCGGGGGACGGAGCACGACTGAGCGGGGTTGAGCTGGACTCGCCGGGCTTGTGCCCGATGATGCTCGTTCTCGACCACGGATATACCAGCGCCGATGCTGAACTTTACCCGCCGGTCAGAAGAAGCGGGTGGAACCAGGAAGCAGGAAGGCGGCGAAAGCAGATTGGCCCTCCGCCGCCCCCCAGAGCGGAGGGAAGAGGGAAAGCCGCTCGGCCCTTGCAGTGGGAAGGCGCCTGAGGCAGCTCAGGATTCCGGGCCTCCCGAAATGTACCTGCTTCCAATGACCGACGTGCAACCTCCGAGGGGCTGCATCCTTCGGGGGCGGCAAAGAGGGGGGCGTCCAAGAGGGGGGGGTGCAAATCATGGCCGGCGGCATGTGCGCGGCCCATCGGGGGGGCCAGGGACGCATTGAAATAAGAAGAGGCGCCATGAAATCTGGGGAAATATCATGGCCCCTGCCATGATATCCACCCCCCCCTAGTCATCACCCCCCTCTTTTCCGCCCCCGAATCCTAGGAGCTGTGCACCAAGACGGTCCGAGACGGCCCCGGGATGGCCCTAAGGAGGCGCCCGCGCTCTCGGCCGCACTCGAGGGCGCCCCTATCGTGGCTTCTTCCGGAGGCCGGGCGTCACGGAAGAACACTGCGCATCTCCATGCTTTCGGGCCGATGGGGGGAGCGCGAGCCTTGCCGTCGCTCGGACGCGCTCATTCCCCGTTCTTGTTGTCGGTTTCGTGCGTGTCTTTGTGGCTCGATGATTCAGGATGCTCCTCGACTGGCCTCGCCGAAAAAAACAAAACGCCCACGTCCGAGCGATGCCAAGGGAACGGGCCTCGGGAGCACCAGTGTGCCAGGACGGCCTCCGAGACCGCCAGAGAGGGCCCCGAGGGGCCCAGAGAGGCGCCCGAGAGGCGCCGAGGAGGCCCCAGGCCCCGAAGGAGCTGCCCAGAACCCCCTCCCCCGCCCCCCAAGTGGCCCCCAAGAGGCGCCGAAGAGGCCTCCAAGAGGCCCCCCAAAAGGCATCGCAAGAGACATCCCAGGAGACTTCCGGAGGCATCCCAGGAGATTGAACGGCACCCTGGAGGACGCCCCCCCCCCCCCCCAGAGGCCCCTCATAGGCGCCGAAGAGGCCTCCAAGAGGCCCCCAAGAGGCATCGAAAGAGACATCCCAGGAGACTTCTGGAGGCATCCCAGGAGATTGAACGGCACCCTGGAGGACGCCCCCCCCCCCCCCCCCAGAGGCCCCTCATAGGCGCCGAAGAGGCCTCCAAGAGGCCCCCAAGAGGCATCGAAAGAGGCACCCCAGCAGACTTCGGTAGGCATCCCAGGAGACTCTGCAGCACCCGAGGGGACAGAAGACTTCTTCCGAGGGCAACCACTGCCCCAGACACGCGGATAACATGAGACGCGAATAGACAGGACGCGAATAGACATGAGAACATCAGACCCCGCTCTCTCTCTCTCTCTCTCTCTCTCTCTCTATATATATATACACAAATAGGTTGGTAGTGAAGATTGATAGAGGTAGATGACGACGGTGGACGACGATGATGGACAGGTAGGGGTGGGAGGATAAGAAGGAGGGAGAATAGGGAGGAGGAGGACCCGTGCAAACCCAAGACTCATCAAGGATGTTGGAATACACCCTCCCTCCAAGCTCCCTCTTCATAGGCCCCTACTAGGATTCATTCCCACAGAGGGAAGTGCCCCATTTGCAAACAATCGTGTGGAAATCCTGAAGCGTGCCAAAACACCGCTCTCAGGACTTCAACGCCACGAGTCAAGCTGACTGTTGCGTCTTGACGGTCCTGAGTCGCGCCAGAACACCAGTCCTGAGACTTCAACACTGCGAACCAAGGTAAGTGTTACGCCCTGACAACCCTGAACCTTTCCAAACACCAACTCTCGCAGGTTAACCATGAGAGCCAGTGAAACTCTCGATAAACTCCAGAAAGCATGTGCGCAACGCTGGAGCGATAACCACATGTTGACAAGGAACAGCCCTCCATCCGTGAAGCTCTTGCAACGTGATGCAGCGAATGTGCGTGTCGCTGAGGCGAAGACCACCTTTTGAATAGGAACCGCCACCAATCTGTGAAGCTCTTGCAACTTGTTGAAAAGGATCGTGCGCGGCGCTAAGGCGGGAGCCTTCCTTTGAAAACGAACCGCCCTCAACCCATGGAGCTCTTGCAAAGTGTGACAACGAATGTGCGCGGAGCCAAGGCGAGAACCACATTGTGCAAACGAACCGCGCTCAATCCGTGAAGCCCTTGCACATGTTTTAAACGAATGTGCGCGGCGCTAAAGCGGGAACAACGTGTTGAAAACCACTCGCCCTGAATCCTAGAAACTTTTGCGAATTTGTAAAACACATGGGCGCGGCGCTGCGGCGAAAAAACACATGTTGGAAGCGACCCACGCTGCAGCTGTGACATGTTATCGGATTTTCAGCTCGAGGCTCATATCTCCGGCGACACGCCCAGCCAGCCCTTCCGACTGGCCTCGGGGTGCGACGGGGAGAGGTTATTGATAAGGAAAAGGAATGGAGGAGGAGGAGGAGGAGCAGGAGGAGGAGCAGGACGAGAAGGAAGAGCAGGAGGAGGAGGAGGAGGAGGAGGAGGAGGAAAGCTTCAGCCTAATCGCAACTGAGGCCAGCCAGTGGGTGATCACGAAAACGCCAAGGAAAAAGCCTGCGGGGGCAGATGTGTTCCGTGGCATCGACGGTTTAGTTTGGCAGTAGATCGGGCTACTAAACGCATGCGGGGACACTGGTAAGGATTTGCATTGGCGCAGGCGCTCTGGCACAGCACAGATCTTGAGTACTATCGAGCCAGGCCTCGGCGCAAGCGCGCGAGAATATCTCTGACGTGTCACACACGCGCACACTCTCGCACGTGCAAACCTTGTACAGTGAGCAAGGAAGCAGTGGAAAGCAGCGCTAACATACGAGACGATGGAAATCAACTCTGATTTTCCGATAGGAGAGCAGCGCAAATGAGGGAGAAGAGAAGGAGGAGGAGGAGGAGGAGGAGGAGGAGGAGAGGAGGAGGAGGAGGAGGAGGAGATGCTCGTGCGCCTGCCATTCGAAGGTGTAGGCGTGCTCGCTTGCGCTTCTTGGCATGCCTTCTCGTCGTCGCCCCCCTCCTTAATTACCCAGTGGTGTCTCATCTCCGGCTCTCAGGCCCCTGTCTGGCCCTTCTTCCCTGGTCCTGGTGCCTCCATGGCCTTGACTCTCTGTGCCCCCCCCTTCGCTGTGACTCTCAGCCCCGTTGGTCACTCTCCGGGCCCCTGGGGGTGCCTCCGATGCCCATGGCAAGCTGAGGAGGAGGAGGAGGAGGAGGAGGAGGAGGAGGAGGAGGATGAGGAGAAGGAGGAGGAGGAGGAGGAGGAGGAGGAGGAGGAGGAGGAGGAGGAGGAGGAGGAGGAGAGAGAAGGAGGAGAGAGAGGAGGAGGAGAGAGAGGAGAAGAGAGGAGGAGGAGGAGGAGGAGGAGGAGGAGGAGGAGGAGGACTAGGGGGGGGAGGAGGAGGAGGAGGAGGAGGAGGAGGAGGAGGAGGAGGGAGGAGGAGGAGGGAGGAGGAGGAGGAGGAGAGAGAGGGAGGAGGAGAGGGAGGAGGAGAGGGAGGAGGAGGGAGGAGGAGGAGGAGGTGGAGGAGGAGGAGGAGGAGGAGGAGGAGGAGGAGGAGGAGAAGGAGGAGGAGAGGAGGAGGAGAGAGAGGAGGAGGAGGAGGAGGAGGAGGAGGAGGAGGAGAGAGAGGAGGAGGAGGAGGAGGAGGAGGAGGAGGGAGGAGAAGGAGGAGGAGGAGGAGGAGAAGGAGGAGGAGGGGGAGACACCCAGCAGCAGTGGCGGGCGAAATACGCTGCTGGCTCCCTCCTGGGAGCGCCCTTCCTCCCCTGGCGCACGGCGGCGCGGCGAAACGCGGGGTAGAGAGCACGCCAGCGAAATCGAGGGCACAGGGCAGTTTCTAATACATATGATTTTAAACATATCAGATGTTTACCACATGATTAATTTACGAATGAATGCATTCATGAACTCATCGTTGTTTTTAACACTAAGTCCCTGCATTTCTAAGACATGATCCGCACGCAAAGCATGTATACAAAAAACGGCACTGCAGGAAACACGCCAGCGGGAAACAAGAAACGCGACAGCGAGAACACGAGGAAGAGGAAGAGGAGGAAGAGGAGGAGAAGCGCACGTGCATCAGCAAGTCCTTCAGTCGGCACGCGACTTCGCGCCAAGGCGGTCCGTGGCGGCGCGGTGCATCCGCCGGTGGAGCTTGTAGTCGGACATGCTAGGGGTCTGAGTGCACAGCTGAAGCAAGCCTTTAGCTCGAGGAACATGTAGTACATCAGGACGACCCCGTGGACCGTGTGGTCGTGGTTGTAGTGAGGACGAGGAGGAGGAGGAGGAGGAGGAGGAGGAGGAGGAGGAGGAGGAGGAGAGGAGGAGGAGAGAGAGGCGAGGAGGAAGGAGAGAGGAGGAGGAAGGAGGAGGAGGAGGAGGAAGGAGGAGGAGGAGGAGAGGAGGGAGGAGGGGGAGAGAGAACGAGGAGGAGGAGGAGGAGAGGAGGAGGAGGAGGAGGAGGAGGAGCGAGGAGCGAGGAGGGGGGAGACAGGACGAGGAGGAGGAGGGGAGGAGGAGGAGGAAGCGAGGAGCGAGGAGGGGGAGAGAGGACGGGGAGGAGGAGGAGGAGGAGGAGGAGGAGGAGGATGAGGAGGAGGAGGAGGAGGAGGAGGAGGAGGAGGAGGAGAAGCGAGGAGGAAGCAGGAGGAGGAGGAGCTTTCCCGAGCTTTCCCCCTCAGCCGCGGTGGCTGTCGGTCGCTCGGCGGCCGTGCGCGCCGCGCGGCCGCCGCTCCTAGGGCCGCGTCCCTGAGGACCGCCCTCTCTCCCTGCGCGTCTGGCGGAGGCGCAGGGAGCGACGATGACGTGCTGGCCCCGCAGCGCGTCGTCGGTCCGCCCCCGAGATCCTCAGCGCCCCGCTGCGGACCCCCAGGGCGGCAACCCTGGGCGCTCGCCTCGGCATGCCTTCCAAGGGGAGCGGCAATATGGTCCATATTCTGCCCATTCCCACGCTGGTGCAGGTCACGGTGCTGCTGGTGCTCGTTGTGCTGGCTGGCTGCAGCCAGGAGTCGGAGCACCCATCGTCGCCGACGTTGCTCTGGACTCTCTGTCGGGCCGTTGTCAGTCTGGTCGTGTTCGTTGTCTTGCCGGTGTATGTCATGCTGTCCGCCGTGTACGTTGTCTTGCCGAGAACTGTCGTCGTCGCATGGAGCGGTAGAGTTTGGTGGGCGCGGGCCTTCACATGCATCTCCACGCTGGCCCCCCTCTACCGCCCCCATAGGCCAACGCAGGGAGTACTCGTCCTCCCCCTCGGCGCACTCCATCGGGTGTCCGTTGTCGTGTCCAGGTTTGTGTCGGTCGTGCTGGGGTCGCTGGTCGTGGCGCTGCTGGTCCGCTCCGAGGGCCGCGCCCCTGGGGGCCGCCCTCCCTCCCCGCGCGTCTTGCTGAGGCGCGGGGAGCGGTGCTTTCTTGCTGGCCCCGCAGCGCGGTCGCGGTCCGCCCCCGAGATCCCCAGCACCCCGCAGCGGACCCCCAGGGTGCGAGTCGCCCTGGGCATCCGCCACGACATGCCTTCCAAGGGGAGCGGCAATGATGCCAGTACTTTGCCCGTTCATGTGCTGGCGCGCGTGGTCGAGCTGATCCCGCGGCTGCATGTCCTGTCGGCAAAACGCAGGCGACGAATCGCCAGTCGGGTCGGCACTCACATCCAACCTCGCGGGAGGTGGTGCGGTGACTGCCCGCTGGCTGTTTTCCGAGCCGCTGTCGGTCAAGCCGTGTCCGTCGTGCTGCAGGTCGACTCGGCGTTCGTCGCTTGGTCGTGGTGCTGCTGTTTGTCGTTGGGCTGGCCGGTCGTCTCCAGTCTCTGTTGCTCGTGTCGGTGGACCGCAGGCGACGAGGTGCCAGGCGGGTCGGTACTCACTGCCGTCCTCGTGGGAGGCGGCGTGGTGCGTGCCCGCTGGCTGTTTTCCGAGCTGCTGTCGGTCACGTCGGGTCTGTCGTGCCGCAGGTCGTCTCGGAGATCGTCGTGCTGGTTGTTGCGCTCATCCGTGTCGAGAGTGTCAGGTGGGCTGCTCGTGCTGTGCGTCGCGTCCTGTGGGGTCGTAGCCGCTTCTTCCGCAGCTCGCTCGAGCCAGTGCTTGAGCTTGTACTTGATGCTGTTGTACCCAGGTCTCTGTAGACACCCCCCCTGGAGCTTCTCGGAGATGTACTCTGTAGTCGAGGCCCCGCATAGCCTGCAGAACCAGCGCGCCTCTTTGCGTAGGAAGACCATCGGGTGGCTGTCGCGCGCTGCCGTTCCGTGCTGCGCGATGCCTGTGCTGTGTCGCAGAGGTGGGCCTTGGCAGCCTTGTTGGAACCAGTGCTGGACCGTGGCGTAGTCGGTGTCGCGGCCGACCCTTTGGTAGCAGCGCTTGCATTGCCATCCTTGCCCGCGTCGCTGTCGTCTGAGGTCGCGGGTCGTTGGTGGTCGTCGTCCGATGGGTTGAGGGGGGCCTGGCGCGAAGCAGTCTCGTCGAAGCTTGATTTGAGCCCGTCGTTGTCGCCTCTGCTCCTGTCGCGCTTCGCGGATCGCCCTGCCGTCGGAGGGGCGACGGTCTGTGGCGTCGACTGTGGCAGCTGCGATGCGCCGTCTGACGAGGGCTGCAGTGGCGTTGGCCCAGTCGTATAGGTCCATCTGGTTGTCGTCGATGTCGTGGTCGTGGGCTGCTTGCTCTGCCAGTCGATCGGCATGCTGGTTGCCGAGCCACGCGTGGTGTGGGAAGCCCTTGGCTTGGGCCTCCTCCCAGGTGAGGTGGCTGTTGATGTGGAAGAGGTTCACGATGTCCGCTCCGTGTTCTCGCGGTGCGATGGCGTGCCCGATGCGCGTCCAGAGGTCACCGTTGGTGCTGACTTCTGCTGCTCGCTGGAAACGACGGTCTCTCCAACCCCTGAACACCAGCTCGCCGTCGGTCCAGAGGTGTAGCGGCCCTCGCGTGTGTTGTAGGCAATCGAGTAGTGCCCAGAGTTCTGCTCGATTGTTTGTCTGTCTCCTGGATGGTAATGGCCCGTATCGCGCGGCAGCCAGCTGGCAATTGCCATCCGTTGCGGTGGTAAGCCGCGCCCATGCCCATCCACTCCGTCGGTACCTCCAGTCTGTCCTGCGCATGTCTCCTGGGCCGTCGCCGTAGTAGATGACCAGTGGTGTGTCCGCTGGCGCCTCTAGCGTCGTGTTGTGGATCATTTCGCCGATGTTGTTGATTGCCGCTGTCTCGTCTGTAGCGCGCTCTGGCGGGGCCGGCCACGCCCGCGGAGTGATCCCTCGTAACCAGAATATTGGGGTACTGCCGTGTCCTGCTTCGGCCTGTCGCATGATGCGGTCGGTCTTCTCGAAGGTGGGGTGGTCGCCACGATGCGTGCACTGGCCCCAGATGCGGCGGTAGTCGCTGTCTTGTTGTCCACCTTCGCAGCTGTCGCATCCGTGTCCGAGTACCGTGCGTTTCCGTACTCTTGTCCATGTGCCTGCGCACGCTGCGGCGAGGAGTCCGCCATACTCGCGGAAGTTGCCCCGCTTGCGGAGGTACCCCAGATGTCGTCGTAGGTCGGTCGTGTCGGCGCCGTGGCGCTGTAGTCCGCCTCCGTTGTAATGGTCTGCTGCCCGTTGCCAAGGCTGTAAACGGGTGTCGGCGAGGATCGCGTCGAGGATGTCGGCGTTGTCCCCAAGCTCGCCGTCGGGTGGGAACTTCCAGTCGTTCTTGTCGCGGTCGATCCAGTGCTCTGGCCCTCGTGAGTCCCAGCCGAGTTGCCAGAGCGTCAGAATGATGGCGGCGATTGGCCCTCGTCGCTGCGTCCATCGTCGGCCTTCAGGGACCCTGAGCACGCGGAAGTAGATCTTCGGCCATGCTCGTCGTACTTGGGCTCTAAGGTCTGGGCTGTGCTGCCAACAGTTGAGCCAGTTGGTGAACTGCGTCTTGACTATGTTGCATGCTGGGTCGTCACCCTCAAGGTCGAGGAATGTCGTCAGACATATGCCTGGCCACGGTCGTCGTAGTGCCGGGGCATACTTCCGTCGCGTTTGGAGGAGCGCCGTGAGTGCCATGCCGTGGAAGGCGGGTCCGTACTTTGAGCGATGCCATCGCACCTTGCTGCAGTAGTTTCGCCTTGTTGCGTATCCGCGGTCTGCGTAGCTTACGTCCCACTGCTCCCAGCCTCCGTCGTGCTGCGCTGAGTCGCGCGGCGTGCGCGGCTCGCCTGGCGGTGCCGCGCGCGGCACTGTCGGCGCCGAGGTCTCGCCCCTCGGCGGCGGCCTTGAGGTGGATATCGTGGCTGGCCAGCTGGGCGTGGATGTACCGGGTGTCCTCGAAGTGGGTGGTCATGAGCGTCGTCTTGTCGGCCAGGCGGAGGCCCTGGCCCTCCTGTGCGTGGCACAGCTCCTGCGTGATGATGATGGTGGAGTTGGTGACCTGCTCACGGCTGCCCACGATGCGCACGCTGATGTCGTCGAACCAGGCGCGTGGGAGGGGCCGAGGGATGTGGTTGGTGCTAGTGAGCTGTATCATGGCGGCGTAGACGACTGTGCGCGCGATGCTGTTTGCGTGCCTCGACCCCGCCAGGGTCGATCAGTCTGCGTATGCCGGCATGGAGTGGGAGCTCTGCCGCCGTAGCACTCGTGCGGCCGAGTGTTGGAGCATCATCAGGTAGAGCGGGCGCGCTTGGAACTGCATTCGGAGGGCGGCAGGCACGGTCTTGTCGATCCGCAGGCTGTCGTAGAATTGCTCGATGTCCGCGAGCAAGATGGACTCCGTCATGTCGAAGGCGTCCGCGCACTCGTCTGTGATTAGGCGCCGTAGCGCCACCCTCAAGCAGCTGTTGCCAGCGATCGCGGCGCCCCCTTTCCCGTTCCTGCGACCGTGTCCACTGGCGTACCCTGTCACGGTGAAGTAGCTCCCAGCACCTGATGAGTTGCGGTAGGAGTGCTAGTGCGCGGTCTCCTTTTGAAGGCTTTGGCATGATCATGACGATGGAGAGCAACAACTGCCATGGCCACATGAGTTGTTCCTCGCAGAGGTTGAAGAGGTCCGCGATTGCTTGGCGTCCAGCTCGTGGAAGGCGTCGGATGTCACTACACCGTATCATGTCCACACCGTTACCTTTGTCGGGTTCTCCCTTGAGGCAGCGGTCCAAATCGTCGACTGTCCAAGGGGCTGGCAGTGTCTCTCTGCACGCTTGCTGTCGTAGCAGCGCGAGGGCGTCTGTGTGCATGTGGTGCGGCGTCTCGGTGCAGGCCCAGATGCACTTGAAGTCCTCAGCCCTGGCGTCGACGATGCCCTTGGGGCTGCATAGGACCTGATCTCCTACTGTCACTTCCTCCTCCCGTCGAGGTGGAAGTGTCGCGATCTTGTGTAGCACGCCTGGCGTCGTGAAGGCGTTGGCGAACCACGTGCTGTACTCTCGGCTGCTCTGGCGTAGGTCGCGTCGTAGTGCATCGCGCTTCTCGTCGCTCGCCTGCATTGCCATGCCTTGCAGGACGTCGAGCGGGAATTGGTCCAAATGAGTGAGTCGATGTCGCCGTGGGTCGCGATGTAGCCGCGCCGTGTCATTGGCGCCCTTGCCCAGAGGTGGTAGACCTTCTCGGACAAGTCTGCGCCATGCTGCATGAAGCTCACGTTGCCGTTGTTGGCCTCGTCCTCGCTGTCTTAAGGTTGATAAGGTGGACAGTGCGTTCTCAACTCGGCTCCACCAGTCTGACCTGTGTGAGGCATATCGAATCCGTCCTGCTCCATGTGCACGTAGTGGGGTGGTTTTGAAATCATATCCTTTGCACATGCCAACGAAGTGGGTGCGGTCCTCCAGCGGTATTTTGTATGCGATGCTGAAGAAGGTCTCCAACGTGTTGGTGAGGTGGTGGTAATGGGCTCCAAGCTGATCGGCCTTGTCAGGGTCGGCGCGGTATGCTGTACACTGCTGGATGCACTGTGGTGCATGTTCTGGTCGTCCGTGGTGGAGGTCGTCCCAGGTGTCCCAGGTGTCGTCCATTGCGGCTGTGTCGACGTCTGCTGCTGCTGTGGTGCTGGCCGCCAGGCGGTCCGCAAACGGTTGCTGTCGCTCTACCCTTTGGGCGTAGTTCCAGTCCGTCTGGTCGTCCTGCGCTGAATTCTGCGGGGTGCCGTCGCTGTGGTCTGCCGTCGTCCTTTGAACGCCAGGGCCTGCAGTGACTGTGGCGTGGTGTGGGTGGTCGGCGCCCTGCTGCGCGTGGTTGGACATGCATGGGTCGTCGTGGTCGTCGTAGGGCGCAGCGCGCTCCTGGGTGCGCGGGTTGTGGTCGGCGTCGTGCTGAGTGTCGGGTCCGAGGCCATAGTCGTCGATGTCGGCGAAAGGGTCGGCTTCCTGCTCGTCCATGGTGCTGGGTCTGGGTGGGGGGGCACTCTGGCGTCGCGCTGCGTTGGGAGGTGTCGCCATCCGTGGTCTCCCAGTGCTTCCCATCGAGCTGCGTCGGCTTGCTCCAGGTCCTGTGGTCGTTCAGGTTGTTCTGGCGCTTCGAGTGGTCCTTGCTTCTTTACCTTCTTCTGGCTGCGCTTGCTGTTCGTGGTCTTGGCTGGTCGTGGTGGTGGAGGTCGTGGGAAGGCCTTCGGCATGCTCAGCCTGCGGCACTCGTTCTGGTCGAAGTTGGCGTTCACCGCAATGACCAGACCGATGTGCGGCTTCCAGGGTACGTCGTGCACTGGCTGAATGCCCCGTATCATGCGTCTGCCTCCTTCCTTGACCAGCGCGTAGTCGATGTTGCTCGGCGTGCTGTCGCCCAAGAAGCACGCGGCCTGGTCCTCGGGGAGTGCGACCGCGCTGGCGGCCCCAAGCGCGTCGGCCCAGCCCGTCTTCTCGAATTCTGTGTATGGCATGTTGGTCGCCGCAGATAATCCAGGGCGTCGTGATGTTGGCAAGGAGTGCGGCAAGCGAAGTAAACCTCCTGGCGTTGGCGCCGCTGGTAGTAGTGTGGGAGGGGTCGAGATACAAGGAGATGGGGAGTAGTGAGGTGCCGCGCATGTGGAGGGTGACTGGCGTCTAGTCGCACATGCCGATGTCCTCGTACACTCCGCGTGCGTCTGATGTAGTTGCGCTCGATACCGTACTTTGACTTCCCCTGTGTCGGAACGATGTCGCTTTGAGGTGGCCCTTAGTGAGTACTTCCGTGCCTCCGTAAGTGCCAGCCTCACTGGTGTCGCTTGCCCTCGCCGCCGTGAACACTGCAGAGTTGCCCGCCTTCCGCAGTGCGTGCTCGGTGTCGTCGAGGAGGTGCTGGCGAAGGCGTGTCTCCTGCAGGGCGTAGACATCGCACGGCTGTCGTATGCCATCGCGCCGCAGCCACCCCAAGACTGTTGGTCCCCACGTAGAGATGTTGGCGCTGAAGATGAGGCGGTCGCGGTGGGTGGCGTCGCCGAACTGCCGCCTCCCACCCCGCCGTGACCGTCAGCGGCCGTCGGAGGAGGCGGCCGCGGCCGCGTCCCTCCCCTGCTGTAGGTAGGACTCCGCCGCATTATTCTCCTCCTCCTCCTCCTCCATGTGCTTGTCGGTGGGGGTCGCTGTAGTCGGGGCTGCTGGAGTCGCTGCCGGTGTCGTTGCCGCTGGCGTTGGTGCTGGGACCTCCTGCGCTGCCTGGTCAGCTGTGCGCTTCTTGTGCGCCTGGGATATCTACCTTCGTTCCTCTTCCGCCTGCTTCTTGGCAACGTTCAGGTGCTCCCGCAACTGGCCAGTGAAGGCTTTTGCGTTCTGTTGGAGCTGGCCTAGGACTTTCTTCTTGGCCTCCTCGACCGCTCGCCTGCCCTCCGCGTCCATGTCGGCCTCGTATTCGAACTCCTTCTCGACTGCCTCGATCTGCACGTCGCTAGGCGAGAGCAGGTCTAGGTCGGCGTCCAGGAGCAGCTCGAAGATGCCTCTTTGCTGCTTCGCCTTGCCCTCCATCTGGGTCTCCTCGATCTCCTTCTCCGCGGTGAGCACAGCGTCTGCACGCTCGGTCAGAATGGCACGAGCTTTGGCCGCCTTCTCCTCCGCGGCCTGCATCATCTCGAACGCGGTGTTGTACTTCTTGTTGGCATCTTCGAGCTCACGAGCTGCGTCTGCCAGACGGGCCGCCCTCGATCTCTGTGGCGGCGCTGGCGTCTCAGCTGACTGCAGCGCCGTCGTGACTCCCGCCAACTGCTTGACTATCATATCGCGGTTGGCCAGCTGCAACGTGCCCAGCGTCTGAGTGACGTTCTGGAGCGCACTGGCAAGCTGGGCCACTCCTCCTGCTGCTCCCCCTGCCGCCTCGCTGCTCTGGCTGCTGCCACTGACCTTGGCCTTGCCCGACTGTCCGCCTGCAGGGCCCCAACGCTGTGGCTTTGGGCGCGCCACGCGGCAGCCGCACGAGCACCAGTAGTCATTCTTCAGGAGCTGCGAGTTCCACCACCAGGTCTTGTTGCAGTGCCTGCATGTCGTCCACGTAGCACCACTGCTCGTGGAAGGCGCAGGAGCTGCACTGCCGTGGTGCATGGTGAGGAGCTGCTCGTCCCTCGCCTGGCGCAGGTGGCGGCGGGCTGCCGACCGCTTGCGCCGCAGCCTGCGGTGCCAGGCTGGCGAGCTTGCCCGCTCGGGTCGCCCCTGCGGGGCTGGGGGCGTCCCCTGAATGGCGCGGCCGCCGCGCCCCGCCGCGGGGCAAAATGCTGCGGGGGGTGGGGGCCGCTGGGGAGCCACCTAGCAGGAGGAGGAGGAGGAGGAGGAGGAGGAGGAGGAGGAGGAGGAGGAGGAGGAGGAGGAGGAGGAGGAGGAGGAGGAGGAAGGGCGGTCCCATGGTACCCCCTCCTTCCCTTCCCCCCCCCAGGAGCCCCCCCCCCGACAGGCCTTCCCCGCGGAGAGCTCCGGGCTAATGCCGACTGCGCCAGCGTTGGACCCCTGCGGGCGCCCACCGCCCCGCCGCTCTTCGTCGTCGTCGTCTTCGTCGTCTTCGTCGTCGTCGTCTTCGTCGTCGTCTTCGTCGTCGTCGACTTCGTCGTCGTCGTCGTCGCCGCCGCCGCCGTCGTCGTCGTCTTCGTCGTCGTCGTCTTCGTCGTCGTCGTCGCCGCCGCCGCCGCCGTCGTCGTCGTCGTCGTCGTCGTCGTCGTCGTTGTCGTTGTCTTCGTCGTCGTCGTCATTGTCTTCGTCGTCGTCGTCGTCGTCGTTGTCTTCGTCGTCGTCGTTGTCTTCGCGTCGGGGTTGGCGTCTCCTTGCCCTCAACCCTACAGGAACCCAGGGGGCACAAACAAATGCACACCGATTCCAAGGGTCCCCATGTTCTTCCAGATCTCGTGTTTGTTCCTCTTCCCCTCCATCTCCCATAATTCCCTTTGCTTGCATGGACATCCACATTCTGGTTGTGCTCGTGCAGATTCTCCCCTCATCACCCCCCGCCCCCGGTCACCAGAATTTCCCTTTCTCAGGGCCTGCGTTTCATCCGCAGATTTTTTACGGGGGGGCCGGCCAGAGCCCCAAAGGCCAAAACGGGCGTCAAAGACCGCCGCGTGGTTTTTTTTTTGCCGGTAAGCCGGAGGTCGGGGCGATCGTCCGACCCCTATCCCTGATCCGAGGGGCTGATGGGGGAGCGCCACGGCGAGGGGGGCACTGGCTCGGGGCCAGGGAGGAAGCCCCGAGCTGGGATCGGCGATGCGTCGCACACAGATCTGAAGGGGCCCTGGGACACACAAATAAATACACACAAATAAAAGGATCCCCCATATTCTCCCATATTTTCTGGTTTTGGTCTTCCCCCCCACTTCCCATATTTTCCCATATTTTCCTGGGAGTCGACGATTACTTGTGTCTGTGTGTCTTTTTCCCTCCTGAAGATCGGCGATTCGCCCCCGCGATGGCGAGAGAGACTCCGGGCCGTGGGCCGCTAGGCCCCGGGACAGGGGGAGGGGGGGGGGGGGCGAGGCGTGTCCTCCCCCCCGAGCCCACCCCCCCGACGCGGGAGCCGGCCGGGACGCGGCGGCGGCGGCGGTGGGCACGGCCAGCGGGTGACGAGCAGGGGAGGCGGCGAGGCCCAGGGATGCTGCGGCGGTGGGCACGGCAGCGGGTGACGAGAGCGGGAGGCGGCGAGGCCCAGGGATGCTGCAGAGGGGAGCTGGGGCTCCTGCCGCAGCGGAGGGGGCGGGCGGGGGGTGCGTCGCTGCCCCGGCGGGGCACCCCGAAGAGGGCAGCAGGGAGAGGTGCGGCCGGGGCAGGGGCGGGGGCACGGCCAGGTGCACCTCACAGCGCGCCTGCCTCTGCAGGGGGCCGTGGCCGTCCAGCCCGAGCCTGTAGATGTGTCGCTGGCATTGAGCTGTGGATGCCATGGCGATGGGCACTCCTAACAATGCTGTCATTGCGTTACAGATGTGTTTAAAACAATTGTGAAACATGCTACAAACATGTTTCAAACATCTTCTTACATGTTTAAGCCATGTTTGAGACATGTTCTAGACTTCTGGAAATGATTTCGCAGCACGCTTCCTCTCCAGTAATCGACGTCCGCAGGCAATATTGAGGCGAGAGCACGGTCCCCAAGTAAACTGTGAGGACGTCTCGAGCGAAACGGCTGCCGGCCCAGGCATCCTGCCACTCCCCAGGCCCCCGCTGTGGGACTCTTGATCCTTTCGTTGGATCCCTTTAGCGGTACGCGACTAGAGGAAAGGACCTGCCACGCATGGGAGGCCATGCCATCTCGCACAAAACCCACGAGTGGCACAACAGCATCGCGAACCGAACGGTCGCTAGGCAAACCGGGAACAACGCACAGGCCGACCTGCAATAGGCGAACTCATGCTATGAGCCGTGGAATGAGCAACCACTTGACAATCGAAAAGCGACAGGAAGAGGAGAGGGAGCAGTGAGAGGACCGCCACGCTGTGTGTGCTACTGCCATCACCTCAGACCCAGCATACAACCCCAGACATGCGACGTCCTGATGTGTTCTATACGGGGTTCCTGAAGTCCCGACCCTTCCCCTGGGACCGGTTTTCCATCCTGAATAGCTTTTTGCCACTCCCGAAGCCTGGCAAGGGCCCTCCGAGGCCGAAAACGGCCAAAAACCTCCCGTCCTGATTTTTCTTTACCGACACGAGCACGTCTGGAACTTCCCCTTTGTTTAAGAAGCAGTCCTGCCCCTGATGGGGCGGGCGGCCACGGCTGCAGCCCAAGAGGCCCCGACCCCCCTTCCGGTGCAGCCCCTCGCCCTGGACCCCGGGCCCCAAAAGCGGCCCCCGGGGGGCCGGGCCCGGATCGAAGAAGAACCGACGGCTGGACAACCGTGTCGTCGGAGAGCTGGGCCCTCGGGCCAGGGCGCCCTCGACGAGGCGCAGCTGCTGGAGAGCACCCCGAGGCGGGAAGCCGCCGAGCCCAGACCCCGATGCCACGACTTCTTCGGACCTCGGCCTCCATGGAGGCCTCGGCCCAGCCCCCGGAGCTGGCCTCTCCTCCCCACTGCCATTTGTTCGGGGGGCCCCCGCGGCCCGGCGAGGCCCCCCCTCCCCGAGGCCGAAGACCCAGACCCCCGACGCCATGAAATTGTCATGACGCGACCCCCAGGGGTCCAGACCCATTCCCCGGGACGAGCTTTTCGTTCTGAGCCGTTTTTTGACGGTCCCGAGGCCTGATAAGGGCCCCCCGAGGCTGAACATAGCGACAAACCCCCCGTCGTGATTTTTGTCGCAGCGCCAGGGGGTCTGGGGACAGCGCGCAAAACCTCGCGCCGTGACCTCGCCACGAAAACCCACCCCAACACTGCGAAAACCGTGGGCGCCAGGGCGGCGGCGGCGGCGGCGGCGGCCCGGCGCGCGCCCTGTGCGCCGCGGGCGGCATCAGCGAGAGGCCGCCGCTGGGGCTGCCGCCAGGGCTGCCAGGCACGGAGCGGCGCTGCCCGTCCGGCGACTGGCCGCCGGGCACCACCCGGCTGGGCCGCTTAGGGGCCGCTGGGCCCCAGGGCGCGGGGCCGCGGTGGCCCGCCAGGACAGCCTCGGCGACCTCGGGGGCCACCTCCTGGCGCGGCGGGCTGCCGCTGTGCTGCTTCTCCTCCTCCTCCTCCTCCTCCTCCTCCTCCTCCTCCTCCTGCTCCTCCTCCTCCTCCACCTCCTCCTCCCCTCTTCTCTCTCCTCCTCCTCTCCTCCTCCTCCTCCTCCTCACCTCCTCCTCCTCCTCCTCCTCCATCCTTCTCCTCCTCCTCCTCCTTCTCGTTTCCCCCCCTCCTCCTCTTCCTCCTCCTGCTCCTCCTCCTCGTCCTCCTCCTCCTCCTCCTCCGCCTCAAGGGAGCGTCCTCGGCGGCTCGGCAGAGTGAGCGCTCCGAGTCAGGTTCACACGATTGCGTGAGTGGCTGCCCGTACCCGAGACCAGACTTCCTCTTTCCGCGAGCTCGCGAGGGATAACTTTGCGTCGGCTAGCACCACAGTGATGAACACCTCGCCAGCTGCAAGTTCTGAGCTTCATGACTGGATGCCCGTCTCTTGGCATCTAAAGGGGGTGACGGTCACACTCATCAGTTTGTATCTAGAGGGTTCGAACTGCTTCACTGGCAATAGCGCTCGTAGGATCGCTTCCCTCGGGGCTTTTGGTGAAACGCTGCATAAGTAACCCTTTGATAGTTGCTGGCGATTTCAACGCCTCCCTCCCCCTCGGCCTTTGGCAAGTCGGGATGAGCCCAACGTCTAGGGGCCCAGATCGCGTCGGTCGAAGGGTACACTTGCTTCAAAAGCGACTGCGATCCATCGCTGATAGATTACGTTCTGCTCAGCCCTGGGGCCCAACATATCTACGGTGGCCTCAAAACAGTCCTGGTGCCCTGGAAGCCCCACGTCGGTCAGGTCCTTTCGCTCCGAGCAGAGACTGTGCCAGCCCTCACGCGCGTTCTGTACCTCCCAGCACCGTTTGCGCACCCGAGGCGAGCTCAAAGGGGCCAGCGCCAGGCAGTAGACGCGAGTTGAAAAAGAGCACCTCCTCTCGCCCTGCTGCCTCCGCCGCCCCCTCCTCCCCTGCTCTGTCCGCCGAGGAAAGAGAAGGACAAGAGCGCGTTCGGCGCCAGAAGGAGCAGCACGTTCCAAGACGACGCTGGGGGGCCCTGGGACCACAGGGCTGGGCCTGTTTTCCATCGCTCGGGGCTCTTGATGAACCCGAGGCCGGCCCTTTTTTCTGGAGCAGGAAGAGGAGGATGTTGCACTCGGCACTCCATGAGCCAGAGACGCAGGGACCTCCAGCCGGCGAGCAGTCGGCCGACCTTGGAGAGCCCCCGAGCCCCCGACTCCAATTTTGGAGGCCTGGAAATGGGCACCAACACCAACACAGGGGGCTGCCTCCACAGGGGGAAGATGATCCTAGATTTCGGTGTTGGTGGTAATATTTCGGTCATCTTGGAAGCCAAACTATTACCACCATCACCGAGATCGGGATCTTCTTCCTTCGGTGGAGGCACACCGCCGACATTGGTGCTGGTGTCAACCTCTAGGCCTGCGACAATTTGGACGCCCGAAATGGGTATGGAAAGACTGGGCACAATGCTCAACCACAAATGTTGTCCCAAACCAGCAGCGGCCGCTGGTGGGCAGGCGGCCTTCTGTCGAAAAAGAACACGGGCCGCGGCGACACCGGCATCGAGTCCTGTGGAAAATGAGCAGGTACCGCTGTTGGGCATTCTACCCATTCTTTCCGTGCCCATTTCGTTCGTGCCGACTCCAACCTCCCAATCTCCTCGGGCCCACTCGAGCCGAGCACGCCGGCCACCGCGGGAGACCGCGCTGCCGACGGAGACTCGAGAGGATCTCCCGACGGCCGTGGCCGCGGCCCCATTTGCCTTTGCTGCCCAGCGCCGTGCCAGCGCAGGCACAGGCCAGTGCGTCGTTCTTGGCCTCGTCTAGTTCGGCCATGGAGTTGGTAATCAGGGGGCCACATGCGAACCCTACCCCTGCCCCCCACGATTTCTGAGGGGGAGGGTGGGGTCCACTGCGTGCGGGAGCTCCCCAGCGAAGTGAACCCCACCCTCCCCCTCAGAAGTCGTGGGGGGGGTAGGGGGTAGGGTTCGCATGTGGCCCCCTGGTTGGGCAAGCAGTGCTCCAGTCTCTTCTTGCCGCCGCTCGGACGTCCATTTCCCGTGCATTTGTTGGTTTCGTGCGTGTTTTTTTTGCTCGATGGTCCAGGATGGTCCTCGATGGTTCCCGCCGAGAGAAAAATGCACACGTCCGAGCAATGCCAGGTCTTCTGCCAGGCCTACGCTCTGTCGTGCAGGGAGGCCCCTCGGCTCTGTGGCCGCGCGCTGCCGCGCACACCGCAGGCCTGTGAGGGCCGTGGAGAAAGGAGGACTGCGCAGGCCGAGGCGCACGAGCCAGGCAGCAGGCTGGTGCAGCAGCACCGCCTGCGGACTCCGCCTCCTTCTTGCCGTCGCTCGGACGTGCATTTCCCGCGCATGTTTTCGGTCTCGTGCGTGCTTTTTGTTGCTCGATGGTCCAGGATGGTCCTCGATGGCTCCCGCCGAGGGAAAAAATGCACACGTCCGAGCGACGCCGAGCCTTCACACTCCGCGTGCTCGGGGGCAGGGGGGAGCAGCGGCAGAGAGAGAGCCGGCTGCCACCCCGAGGCTTGGACGCGCCGCCGCCCTGCGCCACGGAGCCCTCGCCGCGGCCCGTCGGCGCGGTGGGCCTGCGCCGCCCGGCCGGCCGCGCGGCGCGCGGCCGCTTCGCCCGCGGGGGGCGCCGGCGGCGGCGCGGAGGCGGCGGAGGCGAGGCACGCCCCGCTGTGGCTGGGGCTGGTGCTTGCTGGAGGGCCCTGCCGAGGCCCCTGAGCTGTTGGGCGGGGCCGCGGGCCCGCTGCCAGGTCACCGCCGGACCCGCAAGAGGGCGGAGAGGGCCAGTCTCTCGCTGGTGCTGCAGTACGCTTCGGGCAGCCCCTGGAGGTCGTGGACTGGCAGCGAGATCTTGTTCAGAAGATGGGCTTGAGGTAGACGCCTCAGGCCGGCAGGTTGGAGCGTGAATGGTGGTCTCTGGGAGGCCCCAGGGGCCGAGATGAGCGCGCGCGGAGCCGAGCAGGCCACCGTGAGTTTCTCAGCAGCCACTTAGAGGCCCATGAGTCGCTCGCCAAAGGAGTCCCCCTATTGGCCTGAATCGGGATTCAGATTGCGGATCAGCTCGCCGCGGACGCGGCGGAATCCCACCAGATCCCTGAAGGCCACTTGGACTGTTTGTTACACGTGGGCGAACTCGGTGATGTCTCTAGTTAGGCTGCGTATTGCTCGTGCTACTTTGCTTGCTCTCCAGATCGAGGAGCGTGCCCCGTCTGCCAGGCTGGTAGCGCATCACCAGCGCAGGACCAGCGCCTCAGCCTTCGAGAAGGCCAACTCGGCAACCTTCCGCAGCCTGGTCGAGGACGGCTCCGCGCGCTGGGCTTGTGTGCATTGCGGAAGTAGTATCAGCAAGTCGTCGTCGAATCGTATCTAACATAATTTTCTTTGTGCTGAGTGTCCTGGTCCGCCCCCGTCCCGGCCATTGAACCGTTCCTGTGTTGCAGTCGGCTCTCGCAGTGTTCAGTGGATCCACACAATGGCGCGTATCATGAGCCGTACTGGGTGTGTGTGTGTGTGTGTGCACGAAGTGTAGCTGCAGGGCGCGTGAGGGTTCGGGCCATATCAGGGACCTCGGTGAAGAGTCTAAGTGTGAGCGGGGCAAGCCCCCCACCAAGATGGGTCGGTGGGTCCTCCAGCGTCTTTCGGAAGGCAGACCTCTTAAGTGACCCCCTCCTCTGGAGCTTCCCGCCTGCGTGGGCTTGGGGCAGTCCTTGGGAAATCCTCCTCCTCCTCCTCCTCCTCCTCCTCCTCCTCCTCGCTCCTCCTCCTCCTCCTCCTCGCTCCTCCTCCTCCTCCTCCTCCTCCTCCTCCCGTTCTCCTCCTCGTCCCTCCTCCTGATCCTCCTCCTCCTCCTCCTCCTCCTCCTCCTCCTCCTCCTCCTCCTCCTCCGTCCTCTCCTCCTCCTCCTCCTCCTCCTCCTCCTCCTCCTCCTCCGCCTCCTCCTCCTCCTCCTCCTATGGTATATATCCTCTTTGTCCTCCTCCTCATCATCCTTGCCTCCTCCTTCCTCCTCGCCCTCCCTTCCTCCTCGCCCTCCCCCTCTCCATCCCCGATCGGTCGGTCGAACAGAAGACGGGTCAAAGTCTAGCCAACGGCTGGGAAGGGGAGAGCAGGAAGAAGAACAGACGGCAGCGGCGACAAGCGCACTCGCGCGAGCGGCTCCTGTCTGCAACAGCCGGCGCAGGCGGAGTGCTGCGGAAAGGCTGCACCACAAAACACAACAACAAGCGGGGTACTGCCTAAGACACACAAGTGAGAGAAGGGGAAGAACGTAGCGCTGGACCAGGAGAGATCCTTCCCCCTGAGCGGCGCCAGATTACTGTCCTAAGACGAGCGCCCGTGCAAGAACAATGTGTCCCCCGCAGCTTACTGGATTTTACGTGGTCGTGCACATGCGCCACCCGTGGGCGCAGCAAACATTCAGCAACGGGGCCCTTCATCTGGAAAAGCTCTACGTGTCGCGAGTTCAGTCAGCCAGAGGTGTCAGCACCGGAGGTAAGGCAGTGCATGCGGGCCGCGCACATTCGCCTTAAAAGTTTACAGCAGTTTCAAGGAATCGTCGGGTGAACTCCCAGGGATGGTGTCCTGGTGCAATGTAAGGTTGCTAAGACGCAGCAGTCACGTTGATTCGGGGCTTTGGAGTGGCGCGGTTTAGGATTATCATACGGTCGCATTGCAGTGTTGCGCTTCCCGCAATGGAGATACATTCTTGTAGGGACTTATGCAGAGGGAGCTTGGAGGGAGGGTGAATTGCGAAATCTGTGACGCGTCTTGTGTTACACTGGTCCTTGTCCTCCTCCTCCTCCTCCTCCTCCTCCTCCTCCTCTGTGCCCTCTATGTCCCATGTCCCAGGTGAGGGTAGCCCGCATTACAGAACATCTCAGCCTATCAAGGCGCCTTCCCAGACAGGCCACGACCAGGAATGTGGGGTCCCGGACACGAGACTCTGGCGGCCAAATCTGTACATAGGGAAAGGTCCGAGCGCTCGCCCTGCCTCTCCCTCCTCCCCCCCTCTCCCCGATGCCGGCGACACGCACCGAGAGCGACCCTTGGCGAGAGTGACCTCCCGTGCGCGGCCTGCCCATCCTCGAGGGCGCTGCGGCGGTGGCAGCCTGCGTGCCCGCCCCCGCGCCCCTCGAACGCCGCGCACCTGAGGGACGACGACGACGACGACGACGACGACGACGACGACGACGACGACGACGACCACCACCTCTCTGGAGAAGGGCCACTCTTGCGCACAGCCGATCCCCCCTCCTCCCTCGGCCGCGCGGGGCCCAAGACCGACACGGCCGACCCTCTCTGGCTCGTCGGCCAGCGCCGGCCCCGGGGAGACCCAAAGGTGCCGACACCGCCACTCCCTGGACCTCTCCCAGGCCGCGTTTTGGCCAGGATTTCGAAGCGAATCCAGCGGGGGCGACGAGAGAAGGGCAGCAACATGGGTACCTGTTCCTCCTCTGAGGCCCTCCCCGAGCGCATCGCCGCGGGGCGCTGACCCCTACCCCGGGGTAGCTGACCCAAGCACGTCCGCGATGCCCCGAAACCGCCCGCCGCCAGCAGTCGCAAGGACTGCCGCGGGGAGGGAGGGTCGGCTCTCTCCTGGCCCCGGAAACGGCAGGGCCGTTTTTTCACCGTTTCCCAAAAATGTCCCTTGAAAACGGAAACGGCAAAAAAACGGCGACCAAAAACGGCCAAAAAACGGCTCCAGGATTGGAACCGGAGCCGGAACGGGTCAGAAAACGGTGACGGAACCGGTATAAAAACGGCGTCGGAACCGGCAACAAAAACGGCAAAACGGAACCAGTAAAAAACGGCCCTGTCGTTTCCAGGGCCTACTAAGGGCTCTCTCCTGGCCCCCGGTGTCCGCAGCTCGCGCCCTGGCCACACGCGCCGCCTGCTGCGCAGCCCGCGCGCACATCTTCGACGGCATCCCCGCGCCGACTCTCATGTTGAGCAGGGACCGGCCGTCCCGGCATTCCTATAGCCATACCACGACAGGTTCTTAGAACCCAGGAACGTTCTAAGAACCAAAACGATGTTCTTAAAAAATCAACCCGACGTGTTCAAACAAAACAGACTCCGCCAGAAATGTTCGAAAAAACAATTCGTGGAAACCACAACAAGTTCGTAGAACATTCTTTGGTGGGGACACAGGCGAACCGGGACGCTTCGCCACTGCTTGGTCATGGTCTGAGCGGGCCCCAGCCTCTTCCCTTCTCGCGCTCTGCTTCCAATTCGTGCCTCAATGCGCTTCCGGTGCGCACCACCGCGTGCTGACCGGCGCCTGACTATCTTGGGCCAGTTGGCGACAGAAATGTTTGCGATTCTCGGTGTCGCTCATTCTGTACGTCAGAGCGAGGGAGCCGGCTGAAGTGGGTGCGTGGCTGAACTGGGCTTCTGCGGTCAGCATTGTTCTTATTGAATTCCCACAACTGAAAAGAAGATATTGTTGATCCCCCTTCGGGCACCCCAATTCATACAAGGAAAAGTCTTCCTGCTCAAACTGTGCCCGCGGCCCCCTGTTTACAACAACAGCAACAACAAAATCAACAACAACAACAACAACATCAATCATTTCACCCTCATGCGCCATGCTTCCACATGACACATGCATCCATCTGGATAACACACCCCATCATGGGGGATTTTTCTGGCATGCGGGATCCGATATTCCCTCACCCAGATATCCCGCCCAAGAAGGTTTGGCCACCACCTCTTCCGAGGAACTTCAACATCCATAGCTCGGACGGCACATCGCCTTCGCAATCGCCTTGCGCATGCCCCGCATCTCAGAGGGAGAGGAAGAGGAAG